TTTCTATTCAGTTGATTTGATTGGTTAGTGATCATTCTTGGATTGACATAAAGAAATTTCTGGAACCATTAGATCAGTGCTCTATTACCATAAATGGTGTGATCAGCACTGTACATTTATGGTATATTCCCTGACTGTTATAGGGTTCTCATATAGCCAGAGATATATATTTTCCCGCAGTGGAAAATAAGGGTATTATTCTTCATTTTGCATAATATCTTAGCGGACACTCATATTGATATACAAAGGTCCAAACCAAAAATATCTAATATCCAATAGCTAATTAAAAATCTGTTCTCTATTAACATAAAGCTCATATCTTTGACATTAAAATAAATCGGTAATTTGAAATAAATCAAGAATATAAACTGTGCCTTATTTTTTTACATGAAAAAATGATTGGTAAAATTATAAAATGATGCAATAATTTATTATAAGGATATATAATGATTTTAAAGGCTAAGACAATGATAATAATTAAAAATTTTACTTGGGTTTTTTTATTTAATCTATACTTTATTATAATAACAGGTTTTTTTAACAAGAATTGAATATACTTATCTAATATTTTAATTAAAAAGGATTTGTTTAGTTATACATATAGTATATGGCCCATTAAAATATGCCTACAAAAATCATGTGCATGATTCTCAAAATTTGTACACATGCCATTACTAGTTCTAATAATAACAGACAAGTTTGAATATTTGTTTAGAGGTAGCTTTTATGTAATAAACGATTAATAAACTATAGTTTGAATGGAGTCTATAATAATAATACACAATAATTAATATGTTGGTGCAATTTATTGCAGGAAAAAGAAAACAGCAGGGAAGAGGAGATATTAGGAGAGAGTAATGTTGAGAAAAAAAATATCAGGAAAGAAGTGACAGAAAAAGAAAAGGGCATGGTATGGAAAATGTCAAGAAGTAAATAATAGGGAGGGCATATATTGGGGGAAAGTAATGTTGGGGAAAAACAAATATTGAAAAATAGTAAATGTTGGAGAAAATTAAATGTCAAAAAAGTAAATATTAGTAAAGAGTAAAATGGTGGGAGAGAGAAACCTGAATTGAATCAATAGCCTTGTTTGAATCTAGTTTAGGTTTGGCAACTTTGTGTTTGAGTTTGGATTTGGGTTCAAGTTCCGAACCTGGTTTGACCCAAACTAGTGATGCTTGATGAAACCACGTGATGCTAATTATCACATGCTATTACTTATAAAAAATCAAAAATAGATTGTTGATTTTTATATATCATATCATGTGACAATTAGCATCACATGGTTTCGTCAGGCATTACTAACCTGAACCCGAACCTCGGAACACCAATCACCAGTTTCTCCAATACCACCAGTTTCACCAATACCACCAGTTTCACCATCATCACCAGTTTCACCAACACCACCAGTTTCACCAACACCACCAGTTTCACCAGTTTCACCAATGCTGATTGGTGATTGGTGATTGGTGGTAATTGGTGCACCATTAAAGATTTGTTTCACCTGCAACTCTAGTTGTGAATCCATCTTGATTGGATCAATTTTTGGCCGGTTATGACAGGTTATCGGTTTGATGGAATCGGTTTTGGGAAGTATTATCTATTTATACAGTATACAATAGATTAAGTTATCGTTAAAATAGAAATGCAATATATAAATGCGCGGATTATATCAGAGTTTATAAAATTCTTTTCTACCGTATTTGATGTAAACCCGACGAGATGCTCTGTTTTCAAAATATTAAATTTCTTGACAAAAATACTTTCATAATATCGATTTATGAAAAGAAAACTTTGATAAACACGAACGTGTATTTTGTTACAAAAAAATTTTAATTAGTGTACAAAATTTACTAGTAATTATGGAACTGATCATTACTGATACGATTTTTATTTATCTTTTTCGTTTCGTTAGCAAACTTAGCTAAATTTCGATTATGATGTTCTTTTGCATATTATCTTAATATAAAAACAATTAAATTAATTATATAAAGATGTCCTCCACAATATCGTCCACAAACACTTCATCAAACTTTAACGACAGTATCATTTTAGTTTTAGAATCCACAAATGACACATTTTCCACCAAAAGAATTTGTCTTTCTGACAACACACCGGTTAAAATAGGCCGCATAACGAATAAAAATACGCACCAAACCCAAACGAATGGCTATTTTGATAGTCGAGTTCTTTCCAGAACTCACGCTGAGATTTGGAAAGATAATGGAAAAGTGAATTTCGAAGAATTGCAGGTTCTGCTATTATGAATAACTTAGGGCTTTTGTCATTAAAATTTTTGGCTTCTTTAGGTTTTCGTAAGGGATTTAAAGTCTAGTAATGGCACTTTCGTTAATGGGAAACGCATTAGTGTTGAAGACAAAGAAGGCGATCCTGTTGAGCTTAAAGATTACGATTTATTGGTAAATTTTAATTACATACACTATTAGAAATTAAGAATAGATAATGATTCAAGTGTATTCAACTTTTTTGAATTTATTATAGGAATTTGGTATCGATATATACAACGAACATGACCGTAAGCTCTTGTACAGAAAAATTGCTGCGACAGTACAAATTACTTCATCGAGCAACGCGCGATCAAGAATAGGTGTGATCAAGTAAGGCTTTTTTTAGTATAATTTGGCTTATTTATAATGTATTTTGAAAGGTATAATTGTATAATTCTAAATTATAGGAATGGCGTAAGACTCTTTTTTATTGTCATTATTATGCTATGTTCATTTGTACCCAACGATTTATGTGTACGTTTTATGTACAGTCTTCCTGCAAACGCCGTTCTGGACTAACGCCTGGGGTTCACTCCCCTGATGATTCCATATATGCATCTTTAGAGGTGAGTTTATAATCTTACGTCTACACATGAGTGCTGCCAAGGAATTATTAGTTTTTATGAAATTTCATTTTCAGAAACAGCTGATATTGCCTGTTTCCGAAAATTATTCACCGCTAAGATGTTTTGTTAATTCTACTTTGATGTTCTGTCAATCTTTGTTGATCCTCTTTGTTCCATCGTTTAAGCTCAGCTTTAATTCTCTTTTAACCTTTCATTCTCTGTCCGGATTTGTTCGATATTACAATCCACTTGTGCAATCTTTCAAACATGTCTTAGGATTTTCTAAATATTCACAATTGACAACAATTAAATTATTGTTTTTGTTCACTACAGGCATAATTTCCTCACGAGTATCTATGAGCTGCTGTTGAATAGTGTTTAAAGTATTTTATGCTTCCTTTTAAAGTCAATAAATTGATTTGAAATATCTTTTTCACGTTGATCTTTAAGATCTTTAAAAGAGGTAGCATCTGTATACTCTTAATTAAGCTTTGATATTGAAACCTCACGTTCAATAATTATTTGTTTATATCTAGACTATAGATGCTGGTGAAATTAATTTCACCAATTTGACCAATAGTGGTGAAATTATTTCACCACATTTTACCGTATTTCACCAGCATCTATAATCTAGACATTGATTCGTTAAATTCTGATAGTATGTTTGATTGCTCATAAATTTTTTTGGTTGTATCTCCTTCATTTCGAGTGCCATCTAGCTGTTTCAACATCTCATTTATTAAGAATTCCAGATTTTTTCTTGGCTGCACTCATATAATATTATATGTGATTCCATTTAAATTTTTTTTTCTTTCAGTTCGAATTACATAACGCGCGTGATGAGAGCCGCCATTTAATAGAGTTGAACAACGTACTGAATGATATAGGAAATACATTGGGTAATAGGAATAATAGGGTATATTTAATTATTCGACGTTTAATGTCTTAATAATTTGATAACTTCCAAATAAATATATACAAATTTTATCATTTTTAAGGATAAATCGGATGAGAACGTTGTAATTCATCCCGATTTTAAAGAACTGCAAACAAAATTTCGTGCACAATTTTTAAATTGTGATTCTGAAAAGGACGCAGTGGTTGCAGAACTTAATAGGAAACTTGAACATGAAATTTGTCTTCGTAACGAGTACAAGGAAAAATCCCAAATGTACGAGAAGAAAATTGAGCAGCTTGAAGAAAATTTAAAGGCAACATCGCCAAAAAATCTAGAATCGGATTCTAAACTAATTGAAGAATTAAAGGTACAAGTTCAGATGCTTTCACAGCAATTAGAATCTTCTCAAAGTCAGATAAAAGATGCAAATATATCGCATTCTAATGATGATAATTTACAGAATCAACTAAATGAACTGGTCTCAAAATTTGAAAGTTTGCGACTTTTGCACGTTTCTGAAGTGGATGAATTAAAATATAAAATTCAAGAAGTGAATACTGAATTGGAAAATACTAGTAGAGAACTCAATGACTTACAAGACCTTTATTCTTCTGTTACTGAAAAGTATGAAAAACGATCCTCACAAGCCGTTATCCATCAGAAGCAAAAAACTACGGTAAAAGAATCTGAATGGACTAAAGAAAGGGATTCTTTACTTCTCATGGAGGTAAATTGTAGAATTTAATATGGTTATGATAATCTATATCCTGTATTAAATATTTCTTTTGTAATAATACTTTCTCAATTATCTTTCTTTAAATCATACCAGAATCATATCAAGATTTTATTTATTTCATTTACATCACTTACATTCTTTTCTTATTTATTTGAATCGGTACGTCATTTACAATAACATTCGAATGTTGATAAGGGACAACCTATAAGTGCAATTTAATTTCATTGTACCGGACTTAAACTCAGAAAATTGTGATATGGATTACGTAACTGAAGCGGATTATGTTCAGTTTTTTTACGTACTGTATAAACGCGAAATAACACACACCTGCGTGTTATTTCGAAATAAGGGTTGATTTTCTGAATCCAACATATCATTTATCATATCAATAGATTATGTTATATTGGGATGTGCTATTTTTGAAGGGCCCAATTTCAAAATAACACTTATTTCGCATTTATACGGTAATCGTTTTGATATAATTTCAGCGGTCAGAATGCTGGTCGTAGTGATTAAATTGCATATATCACAATTTTTCAGAAGGTTGATACGGTGAAAATTTAAATTCGTGCTTACAGATTTCTCTTGACGACATTTAACGTTTACTAAAAAAAAAAAAAAAAAACCTTACTAATTTCCTTTTCATGTTCTGATGCATAGAGTATTCTTAACGTAATTTTTATCGGATTTGGAACATATATTTTACTTAATCTCTCATGATGTCCAGTGTCCGAAATTGATGTGTACATGTTTATATATATTAATTTATCCAATTAAAAATTGGCGCTCATCTTGTTCATACCTTTAATTTAGACACTACGTATTATAACTTATGCATATATATATAGTGTATAGAAATTTATTACACATTACGTTTCATGTAATTATATTATTTATTCGAAAAATCAATAAAAATTAAATATCTAGATAAATATGCGTTATATTTATTAATGACTCTTAGTTTGGTTAATATATAATAGATGCGAATATATACTGTATATATCTGATATAGTATATATACTGTATATAATACGTATTTATCAAGTATATACTGTATAGTATATATATAGTGTTATATATTTCTAATATTATTTCTTACCGGTGATGCTTTTTGCAGACAAATTTCGAAAAATTTTAAAATTTTTTAAATAAATAAGATATAATTTTTTATAACTTGGGGCAGTGATAGATATTACGTAATATTCATTTACTATGAGGTAGGGCTTCAAAGTTTAGTCCAGTTCAATTTAGATTCAGATTCAAGTTCAATTGAACTGAACTTGAATTGAACTAAACTTATAATTTTTGAATCTGAATCAGACTTAAACATAAAAATAGGGTTGTTTAGTTCAGTTTAATATTTATAAACATGATTAAGTTTAATAAAATATATATAGTTAGACTCTCTAAATACACTCTTCCTCTTTCTATATGTATAATATAAGCTTGGGCTCATAGATAAATACATTGTTATAGAAGTGTTAACAATATAGAACATATTTATAGTACCTTATTATAATATCTTATTATAATACCTTACACCTATTATAGTATTTTATTATAGTAGTATCTTATCATAGTATCTTTTATACCTTTATATCTTATATATATATGTTTTATATTAATTGTTGTAGCTGATGCTAAAATTTAGGGTCCCAATTTAAATCTATAATACCTACCGTATAGTTTCGAAATTAAGCATTACCCCTTTACCTCAATTTTTGAATCTCATATTAGCAGAATTTGTAATAAGATCTTTGACCAAATTACTCCTGCTAATCTAAGATTTAAAAAATTGGGGTAGAGGGGTAGTGCTTAATTTTGAAACTATATGGTACTAAAATTCATATATACTTTTTTACTAACAACTCCACCCTCAAACCCTAACCTAATACTAAAAAAAAACTCACAAAAAAGCCTGGAAATTTTTTAAAATTTCATAATAAAATAAGTTAAAATTTAACATTAGCCATGACATTAATTATAAAAGCTATATAAACTCTAGCTTTTCTTCTTCCTTGCATTTTAGAATTTGTTTTCTACAACAGTTTAAAATATTAGAATTCTATAAAAATAAATACTTATGAATAACTTTATATTTAAACATTGTATTATAAATAAATAAATATATCTTTGCCCTAAAGTAAACTATACTTTTATATATTTAATGAATATACCAAACTGCCCTAATAAGGAAACATTCTACTTTCACACCACTTTATATCTCACCTTGTTGTTTTAAAGATCCTTGTTGCTGTGTGCCGTGTTGCAAAGGCATATTAAGAAGACTATTACACTTGAACTATTTTGATACCTCTTGGTAAAAAGCTAAAAATCTTTACTAGAAATGCTAAACGTTTCCACTGGAATGTCAAAAATCATCTTGAAAAGCTAAAAAGTCTCCTTTAGAATTATAGAAAATCTCTTCAAAAAGCTTGAAAATATTGAACCTATTAACTTAAATATCCTTTTCTAATTTTAAAAATTATTTTTTTTATTTATAAGTATCTATTATTAAAGGAATAATAGCATATTAGAAAGTTCTATTAAGTTGAAAAAGACTTGTACAGAAGAGCTACTTGAAGCCTTTGCTTTCATAGTAACTAGAGCTTGCAGCTTACTGCAGCCCTGAGATTAGATCTTTTAGACAGGTACCCAATGAGCCAAAGTGTAGATATAAAGATTCATAGCTTATAGCTTATTACAAATCTTAACTAAGAGTATTAAGTATGGATTATCCATAAGCCAAAGAGTAAGCATAAATAATCCCAACTCTAAAAAATACAAACCCAAAAAAAACTTGGAAATTTTATATTTTGGAAATTTATATGATATTATTCATATGGGCTGATTTGTGTAATTTGATAATAATTTTTGATCTACTGATCTGTTTTGGGTGATTTTGCTACCAGAACGTTCGTCTCAGTGAGAGGATTCTAAAAAGTCCAAAATCGTTAAAATCCAATCACAGAATCCCGAGAACATTACGATTTTGTAGTATTTTATTAGTAATTTTTAGATCACTATTAAAAATGTCCTTTATATTGAATAACTTTTGATGTATTGATCTGTTTCAGATGATTTTACTATCAAAATGTTCGTCTCACTGAGACGGTTCTAACGAGCCTAAAATCGTTAAAATCCAATCACAGGATACCGAGTTCGTTCAAAACCAGTATTTATTTTAAAGGGAGTGTGCTGCCAATTTCTTCTATAGAGAAATTGGCAGTACACTTTCTTTAAAATAAATACTGGTTTTGAATGATCTCGGTATCCCGTGATTGGATTTTAACTATTTTAGGCTTGTTAGAATCGTCTCAGTGAGACGAATAGTTTGGTAGTAAAATCATCTGAAACGTATCAATATATCAAAATTTATTCAATATAAAGAATATTTTTAATAGTGATCTAAAAATTACTAATAAAATACCACAAAATCGTAATTATCTCGGGATTCTGTAATTGGATTTTAACGATTTTGGACTTTCTAGAATCCTCTTACTGGGACGAACATTCTGATAGCAAAATCACCCAAAACAGATCAGTAGATCAAAAGTTATTACCAAATTACACAAATCAGCCCATATGTAGAGCTAGGAAGATCCTATTATATACTCTTCAAATGCTAGAGCTAAGAATATTTAACTATATACTCTCTAGTAAAAAATATCTATAGTTTCCTTAACTGTAAAAAAAAAACTAACAAAAAAAAAAAATTATTTCCAAATCACTAAAAAGCTTAAATATAGTACTTGCTCAAATCTTCAAAACAAAGTACTAAATTTTTTTTTTTTTTTTCGGCAGTCATGCTTTAACTTTATTAGACTTTGTACGAATCTTCTAGACTCGTAAAATTTTACACTAGATTGCATTTCAAAAGGTAAGTGATAAACTCTTAACTTGTTGGTAGATAGCATATAAGAACTATCTCTAAATGACAAGCACTATAGCATTAAATCTAATGTTATCTAAATTACAAGTTAAAACTAACCCGGTTACCCTAATTGGTACCTATGTTTGACCTGCTATAGCAAGATTTCCCTCCTTCCGGACCCCTCCTGCAATTGGATATGACCCGGCTCTCAACAGTGGACCTTGCCGCCCGTCATGACTACCTCCTCTTCTTTCAGACTTCTTCCACCTAAGCCCGACAACAAAATTAAAACCCTTATTCATACATAAAAGTGAAAAAAATAATGTTATGTTTATGAGAGACATAAACATTTTAGAAAAAAAAACACCTCACGGTGGGAAAAAAAAACTTTTCAACAAATTCTAAAATAGTCTACCATAAATGAACAAAGATGAAAAAAGCGAAAAAAAAGAAAGTAGCCATGATATACTATTATAGCCCGTGCCAGGCATAAAGATAAAAATTATATAATAATTGCAACTAATTACTATATCTCAATTGTAAACTTTCGGTTTAGCTTTGGAACTCATTCTGGACACCGACTTGACTTAGGAATTTTTTAAACAGAGGTGGTGATTTCTTCCACGTACTGTAGCACCATATCGATAAACAAAACAAACACATGGTTGCATTCTACTGAGTCGTCTGAATTAAGTAGGTGTAAACAATGCCGATCTTTTGAAGGAGGTAAGCTAAAATGCCCACTTTTTTGTTGAAATTTTTGGTAAGAACGGCAAAGAGCGAAAAATACAGAGAAGACCACTAACACATATTCAAAAGAGTGTAAATTCTAAAGACATCAACAGGTGTTCTACAAGTTTGCACAGTACTAAATTTTTTTGGTGAGTAGGCAGCAATATATATATATTGCTGTCTACTTACATTAGGTTGTTACCTACTTATGAGAGTTACGAACGATACGTGCTTGTATCGTTATTCGAGTGACGACAAATTTGAGTTCATGTCGTCATTCGAGTAACGAACGATTCGCGCTTGCGTCGTTATTTGAGTGATGACAAATTTGAGTTCACGTTGTCATTCGAGTGATGAACGATTCGCGCTTGCATCGTCATTCGAGTGACGACAAATTTGAGTT